AGCCTTGGTGCTTCAGCTTCCTCCAGCTCAGGGGTGGAGCATGTGACTCGAGCCTATGAAAATCGGAGCATGGTGCTTCCTGGCCACTGGTATTGGCATGTGACCCGGTGAGAGCTGTTACAATGAAATGAGACTTTTGCTGAAATTTCTGGGCTTGCTCTTATTTGCTGGATTGAAAGCAAAAAAGATGCAAAGTTTAGACATGTTAAAGTTATCCTGCTCCTTCAAGGTGTGAGGCTGCCTGAGGAGGTGGAGTTGAGAAATGGAGAGAGAGAAACTAAGACATAGAGACGATGTTTGAGCCCTGGCATTAAGCACTATTTGAAGCCAGAAGTTCCTCTGGACTTTTCAAGTCTATGAACAAATAATTTCCCTTTAATGTTTAAGCCAGATTCAAAGGGGTTTTCAGTTGCCTCCAACAACAAAAACAGCAACAGATCTAATAACTTAGGTAACTTTTAGGCAATTTTGTCTTCTCTATAATTTATTCAATTTTTCTTACTTTACTTATAACAATAGTGTTTTCTTCCCTAACTTTTTCACTGGAGAATGAATAAAGAGAGGAGAATGTAAACACAAAGAATCAAAATAGGGTAGGGGTAGTAAAGTGTAACTTGAAAGTTTGATTGTATAAATACGGTAGATAGGTTTGTGTGTGTGTGATATTACTAAATTATCTTGTAGCTTTATCATGTAGATGATAAATACAGTAAGACTATACTACCTTGCTCCATATGCACTGACCTTATAAATTTGTTGTTGGCTTTATTTGAAAACCGTGAAGGTTACAGTATTGACCAAAAGTCTAAACCAGACTGTTTCTGAAGGAGCTATGGTACAAGAGCTATGGTTCCAAGTGGGACACAAGAAACGTGAAGATGAATTTTCAGAAAAGAAAACTTAGCCTGCATGCCAGGCTAGACATTCTAGACAATGAGATGGTTATTACTTATTTATCATATTTATTGGATTTGCCATCACTTACTAGCTTGTAGGCACAGTTGTGTATCAAAAAATCTAAAAGGCTGAACGTCCATGTCTGACATTATAGCTCACAGTCTATAGTACACATAAAAAGTAAATTCAGGATGCAAACAGCATTTCAAATAAAGCCAAGCAGAGCCAGAGGCTTCAGGAAGGCAACTTGCAATGACAGTGCTGGTTTGTCGGCATTCCTTAGCTTAGGATGCTAAGTGGGAGGCAGCCTGGTCAACCTCACCTTTGCTGTAATTTCAGATTCTTAACATGAACTGGAAACGCAGCTGCTTTTGTATTCAGACATTACTTTTTCATCAGAGTTATCTAAACACTTAATAAGCCATGACCAGTCTACATAATCCTGGCCTTCGGCCCCTATAACACACTTTGCTCTTAATATATTATAAATGAGTGAAATCACATGAGCGGCCATTTGTGCTGACCACACTTATAGCCTTTGTCTTATGGAAAACATATATTGTATGGTCATTATTTTTGCCCAAAGTCATATTCGAAGCAGGAATATTACATGTAAATATCTACAGAGTAAATGTTAAATTAGAAGATTGGGGCTGTTTTCTTGGATCTACAATCTCTGGTTTGAAAGTTTAAACTGTCCAAATCAAGCTCTGTCCATCTTTCCTTTACCCACCAGATCTTTGCACATACTTAGAGCTTAATACATATTTCTCAAGTAAATTAATGACATAAAATGTGAACCTTCTTTCAGTAGTAGAAATTGATATTGTGTTCAAGCCTTGAATGACATGCAGCATTGTTTTTTATTGAACTATAGTTGATGTACAATATTATATAAGTTATAGGTGTACAATATGGTGATTCACAATTTTAAAGGCTATGCTCCATTTATAGTCATTATAAAATATTGGCTATATTCCCAGTGTTGTACAATATATCTTTGTAGCTTCTTTTATAGCTAATAGTTTGTATCTCTGAATCCCCTACCCCTATTCGCCCCTCCCCGCTTCCCTCTCCCAACTGGTAACCACTAGTTTGTTCTCTGTATCTGCGAATTTGTGTCTCTTTTGTTATATTCACTAGTTTGTTGTATTTTTTAGATTCCATATATAAGTGATATAACACAGTATTTGTCTTCTCAAGTTATTTCACTTAGCATTAATACTCTTTAAGTTCATCTATGTCATTTAAATGGCAAAATTTCATTCTTTCTTATGGCTGAGTAGTATTCCATTGTGTGTATGTGTGTGTGTGTGTGTGTATGTGTGTGTATATATATATATATATATATATATATACACACATACACTACATCGTCTTTATCCATTCATCTGTTGATGGACACTTAGGTTGCTTCCATATCTTGACAATTGTAAATAATGCTGCTTTGAACATTGGGGTACATGTATCTTTTCAAATTAATGTTTTTGTCTTGGGATTATTTTTGGCATATATAACTAGGAGTGGAATTGCTGGGTCATATTGTAGTTTTATTTTTAGTTTTTTTGGGAACATCCACACTGTTTCCCACACTGGCTGAACCAATTTACATTCCCACCAACAGTGTAGGAGGGTTCCCTTTTCTCCACATCTTTGCCAACATTTGTTATTTGTTATCATCTTTTTGATGATAGCCATTCTGACCAGTGTAAGGTGATATCTGATTGTGGTTTTAATTTGCATTTCCCTGATGATTAGCAGTGTTGAGCATCTTTTCACGTGCCTGTTGGCCATCTGCATGTCCTTTTTGGAAAAAATGTCTGTTCAGGTCTTCTGCCCATTTTTTAATCAGGTTGTTTGTTTTTTTGATATTGAGTTGTATGAGCTGTATATTTTGGATATTAGCCCCTTATCAATCATATCATTAGCATATATTTTTTCCCATTTTGTAGGTTGTCTTTTCGTTTTGCTTATGGTTTCCTTTGCTGTGCAAAAGCTTGTAAGTTTAATTAGGTCCCATTTGTTTATTTTTGCTTTCATTTCCTTTACTTTAGGAGACAGATCCAAAAAAATATTGCTGTGATCTGTGTCAAAGAGTGTTCTGCCTATGTTTTCCTCTAGGAGTTTTATGGTTTCTGGTCTTACATTTAGGTCTTTAATCCGTTTTGAGTTTATTTTTGAATATGGTGTGAGAGAATGTTCTAATTTTATTCTTTTACATGTAGCTGTCTAGTTTCCCCAGCACTGCTTATTGAAGAGACTCTTATTTTCTCCATTGTAGATTCTTGCCTCCTTTGTCATAGAGTGATTGACCCTAAGTGTGTGGGTTTATTTCTGGGCTCTCTATTCTGTTCCATTGATCTATGTGTCTGTTGTAACACACGACATTTTGTTTCTGTTTAATCTTAAAATCACATGAAAAAAATAGATATTTTAGAGACAGTATTGTCAATCCTCAAACCTGACATAGTGTCATCTAATATGTCTCCAATTATTCCAATATGAAGCAAGAAAGTCCTAGAAATGATTTCTGAAACAGAGTAAAATTTCATTTTAAAAAAGGAATGCCATACAATATTTGGGATTAAAAATAGAAGGTCACAAAATCAAATAGCATGCTTCCTTCTAAAACAGCAAAGAATCATTGCCCTGAACCAATGAGGAGGTAGCTTGGTTAAACAAAAATATTTGGGATTATTTTGGCTTAATTTAGGATCTCAGAAATACCATATTAACATGGGAATCATTTTGAAGATGATTTGGGTATTTAAAATTGTTCACTGGGGCTTCCCTGGTGGCGCAGTGGTTGAGAATCTGCCTGCCAATGCAGGGGACACGGGTTCGAGCCCTGGTCCGGGAAGATCCCACATGCCGCGGAGCAACTAGGCCCGTGAGCCACAACTGCTGAGCCTGCGCGTCTGCAGCCTGTGCTCCCAACAAGAGAGGCCACGATAGTGAGAGGCCCGCGCACCATGATGAAGAGTGGCCCCCCACTTGCCGCAACTAGAGAAAGCCCTTGCACAGAAAGAAAGACCCAACACAGCCAAAAATAAATTTAATTAATTAATTAATTAATTAAAAAATATTAAAAAAAAGAAACTGCCAAAGTGTTTAAAAAACAAATTGCTCACTGAATGACTTTAATCCCTTCTGATGGGAGATTTCACTACATCTGAGACCAGCTTGATTTTGTTAAACTTCTAAGTCCCGTGTTTGGCCACATTAACCTGAGAACGTGATTAGAGTTAGAAAAGCGACTCTGTAGAAGAAGTCACCTTCCTACTGAACCATATCTGCAGCTCCCCATGTGTCTCTGGATCACATCTGTTTACTGACAGTGATCCAACCAATGTCCTCATTCACTCACACGCAACATCAATGAGGGTTGCGTGCATGTTCTGACAGTACATGTTGACCCCAAACACAAGTTGTTCAACTGTTAGCCTTGGAGTCCATACAAAAGTGACCTGGATTCTATCTACTCACCTCTGTATATCATCAAAATAATGCCTATCCAAGTTCCTACCCCTGAAGCTTTACCTTCATGGTAGGAGGAAAAACAAATACTGCAGTATGCTTTTATTTTCAGATTTCAAGGAGGGCTATTTTAAGTTGGCTGAAATAATAAAGTTTGTCTTTCTAGCAAATTAAGTTACTTTGGTACAGGGGTAAAATTTACTGGTTAAAATTAAAAGTATTTCTTTCTTCAAAATGTATAAAGTTACATTTCTCCATAGTTTTTTCCCCACCAACCCTTGACACCCGCAAATAGAGTTAAATTTTTTTTAAAAAAGAGAAGCTTTTGGAGTTTAAAAAAAAGAGTCTGAGACTTTGCCTCAGATAATCTCAGCATATTTTACAGAGAAAGGATATAGGAGTATTTGAATGATGATAGATATGGAATCCTACCCTTATCTTCAAATGAATGGTTTGTTTAATGTGTTTTTATTTATGATAGCCAAAAGTAAGATTATGCCTTTTCCTTTCAAGACTGGCAAAATTTTCTCTTCTTTGGTAACTTTTTCTAGTTTTAAAAGTTAGCTTTTCAAAAATAATACCAAAGCATGACTATATAACTTTTACTTTTTTAACTTTACTTGCAGAGCAGCAGTGGATACACATGATTAACATTACAGTCGGTGACCCAGTTTGAGCCAAATTCGTTCTTTTTGCTTACAAGAAAGAGAGGTCTGCAAATCACCACAGACTCATGGGCAAATGTAAGTAGGAGTCAAATGAGAGCTATGACTACAACCAGGGCACTGGTCACACACCAGTCTTTGCAAACACATTTATTTATGTGGGAAGTAGAGCAGACAAAAGCATCTTTTTTCAACATAATATTTCCAAGCTAGAAATAATATGCTACATAAGTAGTAAATATATGGAAGAGTAAATTTAGGAACTGAAATTTTTTTTTTGGCAGTACGCGGGCCTCTCACTGTTGTGGCCTCTCCCATTGCGGAGCACAGGCTCCGGACGCGCAGGCTCAGTGGCCATGGCTCACGGGCCCAGCTGCTCCGCGGCATGTGGGATCTTCCCAGACCGGGTCACGAACGCGTGTCCCCTGCATCGGCAGGCGGACTCTCAACCACTGCACCACCAGGGAAGCCCAGGAATTGAAATTTTTAGATGATTGACCAATTTTACTCTTTTGTTTATATATTGGTTTCTCAAAACTTTATGAATTTCTTAAGGCTAGGTACCACATTGACTCACCATTTAGTGTGCAGATCACTAGTTAAGGATTTACAACCCATTCATGTATTCACTGTGTATTTAGTAAGCACCTATTATGTGCCAGGCACTATGTTAAGCGATGGGTATAGAGTATTGAATGAGGAGGATGAGGAAGAAGTGCCTACCCCAGGTGATGAGGTTGTAATCTGATTTATAAATTTGGAAGAAAAAGTCAGACATATCTAATGCAATGTCTTCCATTTGGGGTCAGCCTACTGGCAGAGACAATGTTTTATGGTCTACTCTTTCACCTCTAGGTAAAAGTCCCTATTAGGGGCTTTCACCTAGAGGAGGAGGCCTGAAGTTGCTCACCCAATGACTAGGTGAGATTCCTAATTCAGGAACAAAAGTATTGGCCTGTCCATTTGGGCTTATGCTTAAGATTTGTTTTCCCCAAAGATTCTCATCATTAATAAAGTTAACATTTTATCTGCATAACTCCTAAGTCTATCTCTCACTTGGTTCTAAACTTAAGTGGTTAAGAGCAGGGTAGTAATATTGACCCTTTAAAAGACTAAAATAGACTTACCTCTGCCATTAACTAGCAGGATGACCTATGGCAAATTACTTAACCTCTGAGTTTCTCTATCTGTAAAATAAGACTAGGAAGTGATTTCTAAACGTCCTGGTTGTTCAAATATTCTGTGATTCTATGATTGTTTTTAGCAGAAATTGTTTAGAAATTTGATTGAAATTATTTTTTATTATTGGGAGTTTAGAAAATTTCTAGCTTCAAAACTTATTGGTTATGCAGTGCAAGTGTTTAAGACCATGGTCAACTTTGGGAAAATACCTATCAAGTTTCTTTCACATGTGAAATGTTACAGATATACTTGATTTTTGTTGCATTGCTGCTGGTGAGCCCTATAGACACAGGAATTCTGATAAATTTTGTTTTGCATGATTTCCATCAAAAAACTTTCAAAAGTACAGTGCATTTATCATTGTATTCACTGTATTATTTAATATATTCCTAAGGGAAAGAACTTCCCTTTTGATGAAGCATCAAAGAGAACCAAATCTTCTGCTTCCAATTTACATGTATGATGATTAGACAAATTTTCCACAGACTAGCTTCTGGGTTCTCTTGAATTGTCCAAATACTTCCAACTGCTGTTGGAAGTATGTGAAATTGACCTTCCCGTGAATAGTACTCACGAAGTGACTATGAACTTCCTAATTATATATCACTAAACCCTAACTAAATATATCCCCAGATTGGGTTCACTTCACCTAGATCTCAGGTATGCCCAGGACTACCCCTGCTCCATGTAACACAAGGGTAAATGTGACAGAGGGTGTCATGGACTGAATTGTGTCTCCCCCAAATTCATATCTTGAAGCCCTAACATCCAACATGACTGTACTTGAAAATAAGGCCTGTAAAGAGGTAATTAAGCTTAAATGAGGTCCTAAGGGTGGGGCCCTAATTCGATAGAACTCATGTCCTTATAAGAAGAGGAAGAGACAGCAGGGATACTCGTATGCATACTGAGGAAAGACTATGTGAAGACATGACGAGAAAGTGGCCATCTGCTCTGAGAGTCAGGAAGTGATGACTCAGGAAAAGCCAGGCTGCCGACACCTTGATCATGGATTACCAGCTTCCAGACTGTGAGAGAATAAATTTCTGTTGTTTAAGCCACTCAGTCAGTGGTATTTTATCATAGCAGCCCTAGCAAACTAAGTAAGACTGTGGGGAAAGTAAAGTGGCAAGAGTCAGTGATCTTAATTGATTTTGATTAAAATGTCTTAATTCTGCAACTTCTACAAAAATACGTGAGTGGAGGTTCTGCTTCCACTTAGGATGTAGGAAGATGCAGGAGAACATTGATCTCAACCTAACAACAGGTAAAATCTGTACAATCTACATACTCACAACTTTTCTGGGGCCTATCAAGGAGTGAGATTGCAAGGCAACCAGGTGGACTGAATTCCAGTGGGTGACAAGCTCCTCTTATAAAAGATGGACACAGGAACTATTTCACCTTTGACAGAGCATTGGAGGAAGAGTCAGGAACCATAAAAGAAGGTAAGAAGGAAACAGCTGAAAATTCAACAAATTCTCCATGGTAGAGTCCAGGCTAACATGACAGTATAGAGCAAGGGTTAGCAAACCTCAACCCATGAGGTAAATCCAGCTTTCTGCATTTTAAAATATTTTATAGGGAAAAACTCAAAAAATAATATTTTGTGACACATGGAAATTATATGAAATTCAAATTGCAGTGTCTCTAAATAAAGTTTTTGGGAACATAGTCACACTTATTGTTTATGCTTTGTCTGCTTTTGCACAATGGCAGAGTTAAGTAGTTACAATAGACCATATGGCCTGCAGAGCCTAAAATATTTACTGTGTGGCCCCTTACAAAACATGTTTTTTGATCCCTGATTTAGAGTCCTGTAAACCCAAGACACAGGGAAGTTGCACTTACTTGTCAGCTCTTTTCCATGCCAGGTCTCTACCATGTTCTCATGAGAAAGGTTGGGGGCAGGACAGGAGAGCTGAGAGTTCCTTGGCAGTGCACAGACATAAAACCACTTCCTCATCCCCAGAACTTTCTCTCATATGAAGCAAAAGCTGCAAGCCACCATAGAAGTGCAAGGAAATACTTCTACACACTAGGCCAGGAGAAGATCTAACACCTATGGGGGAAGGGTAGGAGTAAAACCCACAGGACAGTATGGAGAGATAGGAAACTCTCCTTTTCCTCTAGTCTTCCCACTGAGGAAGAGGTAGAAGTCTGAGTGCATTGAAAGGAACTAAGTCAATGGCAAATCCAAACTCAGCTCAGGAATTGAGTAGATTGACTCAACTCCCTATACTAACAGCCTTTCAGAAGAAGAAATGTTTCCTTTTCCAGGTGTAAATACTATTGACCTCAGTCTCTACTGCTTTTTTTCCCCCACAAAATAACCAACATATTGTACTACAAAAAATTGTCAGACATTTAAGAAGAAGCAAGGAAAAGAAAACCTGACCTACAGTCAAGAGAAAAGTAGTCAATAGAACCAGATGAAGAGATGACTTACATGTTAGAAATTTTTTTTTTTTTACATCTTTATTGGAGTATAATTGCTTGACAATGGTGTGTCAGTTTCTGCTTTATAACAGAGTGAATCAGTTATACATATACATATGTTCCCATATCTCCTCCCTCTTATGTCTCCCTCCCTCCCACCCTCTCTATCCCACCCATCCAGGTGGTCATAAGCACCAATCTGATCTTCCTGTGCTATGCGGCTGCTTCCCACTAGATATCTATTTTACGTTTGGTAGTGTTTATATGCCACTCTCTCACTTTGTCACAGCTTACCCTTCCCCATCCCCATATCCTCAAGTCCATTCTCTAGTAGGTCTGTGTCTTTATTCCCGTCTTACCCTAGGTTCTTCATGACATTTTTTTTTCTTAGGTTCCATATATATGTGTTAGCATACGGTATTTGTCTTTCTCTTTCTAACTTACTTCACTCT